CAAATGTTAGAACATAAAACTTCTCAATCATTTGCACTAACTGTGAAAATATCAAGCACAATCGAAGGTTTCAAACAAAACCGCTCAATATATCACTTAGCATGAAATCCGTCATATTGAAAGATCTATTGTACGTTTTCATTTGAATTCGTATAACTTTAAAAGTTCCGTCACTCTTCAGCAATTTTCCCGTCCTGGAAGTGCATAAAATCAGAAGTTTCACAGCGATAACTCTTGTTTTCCTAAATGTCATAAATTTTTCCTGAACGCCATAAATTTCGTTTTTCGAAGGCAATTTGAACAATTAAACTCACCGCAAACTGTACTTCAATAATTTCTTAAACAGGATTTCTTCGATGTTTATTGTGTCACTTGCCGTGTGACGCGTTGTAAATTTATCATAAATAACAAATTGGGAAGGGAAACTCGAAATCGAGAGAACATAAATNCATAAATGATTCGAATGAAAATTTATGACTTGACTATTTCGACATAAAACAGACAACCTGATAAAAATATCGAAAGTGCACCATCCATCTTATATATCACAAGCAGAAAAGTCGGTGCCATTGAATCATATTTTATGTCATTTTGATGGGATAACATTGCATGTCAATAACCTAAAAGTGCCTTTTACAATAGCTCAATGACGCCATGAAACCAGAACGACTGCAACCGTGAACAATATGAAACACCATAACGGGTGTTTAGTTGCCTATAGACTGACCTCACATGACACCCAATCATCACCCTGTTATGTCATGCATATCGTTTACTTTTGTGTGCTCGGAAACATTGCTCCGTTAAAATTTTTTATGGGCCAATAAGTCGATTACCGATGTTACATTAACCTGAATCATCACGAAATATTCTCAGTTATTTTTATATCACAATGATTAGGCTCGGTTTGTGTTTTGAGGTCATCATCGAGTCTGCGGATGAAAAAATAGGGCATGAAAAAGCCGCAGTTAGCCAATCGTATTGTCAGTTGAAGATTTTCGTTCGCACGGACCAAGTGTTCCTGGGCATTTAACTTCAAAACTGTTCTAACAATGGCGTCGAAGAAATGGCGAAAGTGATTTTGCATCACTTGGTAGGGGAAATCTCCTCTGAATATCTTTTCCTCCGATGACCTTCAGAATGTGCTTGTCAAAATTATTGACCCAGTTTTCTTCCAGTAGAAAGTGCGTCTTCTTTCGAATGAAAAATTGAGCGAAAGCGATGATCTTCGAGTGATCAGTGCATATATATTATTCGATACTTTTCATGTGAATAAGTGATGAGCTGAATGAACTATTGGTCAGTTTTCTTGTCTACTTTCGATTTGACAACATAGTTCGAGACCATTTAAGAGAGTTCCCAAATGGGCCTTGAATTGGACTGAGTATTCAGATGGAATCAAACCTCTGCAGTACTCAACTTACGCATTCTAACCATTCCCGAACACTAACAATTACCCACTGCTGACGGTTTCAATTATTCCTATATTGTGGTCAGCATTAACCCCGATCATATAAACTAGACAAATACCAGTGAAGAATATGACTGCATTATGACAATTCCTCCGAATTTCGAGTTCACATAAACAAATTTTCAAACACCATGAGAGTTTTCGTGTCCTGGTATGATCACCAAACCGTGAAATTAGAGGAATGTTGATAGAATATTCCGGGCTGTTCAGATGCTATCCTGGCATTACCCTTGCAGTCTATGTATAATGCAACAAACACCATTAGCATTCGTTTCTCGCAGTGAGTCTTTCATGAATTCGATGTTTCGTCTCACAATAACATATGAAAAAAGCCGCAACAATTTGTTTCAAATTTATTCATATTTTTGACCAGTCAAATACATTCATGAATATATACGCCCCGTTCTCCTTATATATCTGATATACTATGAGAATACATTAATCAGTAACCATTTCTACAGATGAACTTCGAGACTCATATTCAGCTGGCACGAACCAATGATTCAAAATGTCCCGAATACTTGAATCTAAACCGACGAGCAATACGAATAAACCTAAAACAATAAAGAAAGAATTCGAGAGAATGCGTATCACAATCGAGCACTTCGACTCCTGCCTCTTCATCATATCGGGCACAAATATAATCGTATCGATAAAGGCTGGCAAAACAAACGCAAGAATCATTCCACAAACGGTGCCAACCAACGGCACAATATGCCACAGATCCGGTACAGCAATTGCGACTATCACTGAAATTCTTTCGAGTTGAAATGAGAGCCATTTCAGATCACTTTGTAAATCATGAATCTTTCTTCGTCCATCACAATCTCATGATTGCATTTGTAATCCAACAATAACGACTAATATTGATGATTCTAACATATTACGATTTAATTGATGACAAGAAATTGAAAGATTCAATTCTGATTTATGCAAAATTGAAATTTTCACAAGAAGCGTGAAAATTCTCATTCTTTTCCGGCACTTCTAAATTCCATCTCATTCTCTTTATTACTGTTTTTGCTCATGTTTTGTTCACATCTATTCTTTTGAGATGATTCCAGTCATCTCTTCCGTTTGCTCTGCAATCCGTTCTGATCCTATTGGTGTTTGTTAGTGATCAACTTGCCGTCATGGAAAGATCACCAATGAATATATTTTACTTACTTGATAAGAAAACAAGAAATCCTCTGAATACATATTGCATGTAGTTTGCTGCAGAAGGCGTCCATTTGCTCTCAGCTAACTTCTCATTAATCGTTGGCCAAAGCGTCTCAACAATGACGTATTGTTGTAGCACGAAACCAACATAGACAATCAGTGTTATCAATACTTTCACAGCCGTCAGAATCCTTAATTTCCTTAGTCAGATGAAATTATTTCATTATCGCTAGTGATAGCGCCGGACTCTACTCTTCGTAAGCGTGTCTTAATGAGGTTTTGACTCAAACGAATTGAATATTTCTCCACCTTTCGGTCTCCTACCGTAAAAACTTCAGTTAACTCTACTCTAAGTTCAGATGACAGATCGCGCTGAATAACTGCCTGTTTCACTCATCCTACTGAATAGATAATTTTTTCAGTGAACATCTTAATCGCTCGCTATTATATCGTGGATGGAACGATGATGGCTAATAAGATGCGACTGAGAAAACAATCACATAAACTCACATTGTAGGTGGTAAATTCAGCGTGATACTACCTTTCACGTTCTCTCCAAAAGTGATATAGCCGAAAAATCCGAATGCTGAATTAACAGCCACCACCAAGCACATACCAACTGAAAGCACACCCGTTAAACCAATCATATCGTCCGGTTTAGTCAGCTTATTCTCCAATGGTAGAACCTGCAATCCAGAAGAATACATTCACACTTCTGAAATCATCTCACGATCAGCTAGACTCTCAATAATCATCTGACAATGAGTAAATAGTTGAAGTTTTGGCCTATGTGATTTTTGCCCAGACGTAATTCAGACGAGTTCGAATTGTCCTAATGAATGATGGCTACTTCCATTCAGCCATCTCAAGTATCTCGCAAATGTTTGGCTCTTATGTTTTCGTATGACTTGGAGCAAGTGATACAGGTTGATCATATCGTTCGAACCCATTTATTTTCTATTCATTCTTGAGAATCACATCTAACAGAGTTGGATATGATTCACATCTTTAAGTGTTCATAATGCTTGACATATGAAAGCTATTCACCAGAGCTTGTCCTTCAAATGTGTACAATATCGAGCCAGCTGCTGAAGCCATTCCTCGAAAACTGGTTATCCAAGGCAAGTCTGTTTTGAAGTGATCAGCCGTAATGAGTTCCTCAAAGAAATCAAATCCGTTAGTTATAGACATCAGGTTCCGTTAATCCATAAAATCTCTTAAT